CTCCCTCCCTCTCCCCCTCCTTCTCTATCTCTATCCCTTTTCCTCTCCACAATCCCCCTTCTCTCTCTCTCTATCCCCCGTTTCTCCCCCTCTCACCTGACTCCAAGGCGTTGGTCAGCTCATCACCGACGTCTGTGTCATCAAACACCTCTTCTGACCACGCAGCCTGGGACAGGAGGGCCACAGCGATGGACACCGCTAGACACAGGTGGAGGACTTGCATGGCTGGACACAAGGTTAGACACCAGTACATTTTATTTAATAAATCAGTAAAGTTTTAGTATAAGTTTTACCACACTTGCAACACAATAAGGTCGTATAAGTGCCGAAGATTAGAGGTGTTACAAGAGATTTACAGACACAAAAAAAAAGAAGGAGGAGAGATCAGGAAAACTGTACAGATGTTTGATAGGAAAGAAGGAGCAATCCACACCAGAGCACCCACCAACCACCCGCTAATAAATCAGTAAAAAAGACACACGTGGAAGAATTATTACTTTCTTTTACTTTGAAAAAAAAGTCCTAAGCAAAATAATGTTCCTTTCTTAGAACTTTGTAAAACACTGACTTACTGAAAAAACAACCCCCCAAAAGCAACGAAGACTAATTGATTAAAAAAGTCATAGTAAACGTTTCAAGTCCCCATCGACACTGTTAGTCATTTAATGGGTGTGATGTTTCAATCTTGTCTTGTCGAGGCCAACCCAGGATTGAGAGGGATACCGTATCCTGGCAGAAAGTCGGAGCTATTGAAAAGAAAAAACATACTGACTCTTAGATGGGTAATAACTAGTCCTTTACAATTACAAGAATTGCAGTTATTGCAGAATATATTCAACGCAGTGTGGACTTCTATTCTAAGCGTTCAACAGCGCTTGAGGACACGCTGTTTTGGACCAGAACTTCGTTATTCATACAGATTTTTCGAATTCTGTTTTGCTTACAACATGGAACTTAAAAACGCAAGCAAGAACATTATATGAACTAAACAAATTAATGTTTCTGATGTGTGTAGATATTTATATTGACTCGAAGTGTTTCGCAATGTTGCCTTTGCTTTGCTGCTGGTCGGACATATTACTTAGTGCTGGGCGGCAAGGTTCTCGATTGTTGAAGGCTAGGAATCGTAGGAATCGACTCCGAACCCAATTACTTACTTTCTAATGATATGACTTCGTTCAGTGGTTACCTAACTGTCTCCGAACATCTTCAGGATTTAGGATGACCTTGATTTCGGAACACTACGAAGCATCAACTTGTTTTTTATTTTCAAAAATGAATTCGAAAAATAAGAAGATTTAAATGATTAAAATTACTGGTAATAGTGGTAACCGTTGGCTTTCGTAAAAAGAAGTCGGAACTTTTCTTCCGTAGTATTAATATTGGGAATCGGTTCCCGAATCGATTCTTCGCCCAGCTCTGCATATTACGTGTTCGCTACCTTCTTAAAGAGTTATAATTCATGTTTCGCATTAAGATAATGACACTGTAAAGCAAGACACTAAACAAAATTATAATATTGTACCAGGGATTGAGGTGAGGGCAAAAGGGG